CCTGGCCATGCCGGCCAGGGGGTCAGAGTACAGATAGTTTATTGCGGAAAATTCCACCAAAATTAAATTTTCGTTAATGTAAAAATGGAATCTAATGTGAATTTTTGAATAATTGAAATTGTTCAAACATATACGAAATGAGGTCCTCTCAAATGGCGTATCGAAAATTAACTCCTGTACTACATTTATTCCTTGAACTATTTAAAAGTCTTAAATAAATATTTTAGAAAACTGAAACGTAAATGACTGTATCACTCACGACGAAAAATGTTTGATTGTTTCAGATATTCACGCACAGTTTCACACGTATCTGCGCTAGCAGTGTCTAATTTTTAGCTGATAGGCTATAGGGAAGGCAGCTAGACAACAGCACCCACTGCCTACTATTGGGCTACTCTTATAACGCGTCCACTGCCCCAAACTGCAGAGAGCGATTTTTTTAGCGGTAACGGGACGCGAACTATAACCAGTAGTCCACGCCCGACCAACCTGGTGAAACACACAACATAATAGCTGGCTTCCATGGTGTTCTGCGCTCTCGTTTAATCGGAGTGTGAAAAACAAAAGTAAGTTTTATTCCTTTACGTATGTAGTTAGAATACAAACAAGATAATTTCTATGTGTTGTTGTTACACTGAAAGCAACAACAAGAAATCACTGAGTTTAGGGTGAAATAATTTATGACTTCACACTATTTTTACTCAGGGTGCACTTACTTTCTCATTTCCATGACAATTAAACAATTGAAAGCATTTTGTTGTTGTTGCTGATGATGTCATGCTAATTTAATTGAGCAGATGTAGTCAAAACCACAAGAATACACCAAAATGACATGAATGTATGATGTGGCTTTCGGCTGTTATTAAGCAAAAGGTACATATCTTAAGGGCGTTGCTTCATCATTAAACTTATATAAATAATAAATGTCACTCCTGCAAGTGGGTAGGGTAGAGGGGAGTAAGGATGGTATAAAAAGAATAGGATAAAAGGTAAATTAAGTTAATAGTGTGTAAATGTGTAACTATTTTAAAAATTACTTGTTCTAAGGCTTTCTCAAAGGTTTTTCTGAAACATAATTTTTATATTATTCTTATAACAATAACGTTAATAATGATAATCTCAAATCCACTAAATGAGAGTTTACAAGTCAAGGTATGCTTCAGTTTCTTAAGTTCAGTTAGTATAATCTCAAGTGTCAAATATGCTAAGAAAATGCCAAATTTTAATAAACTCATTATAATAATCAGTGTCAAATGAAACAAACATACGTCCAATTTTTAATTTGGTTCACTATGATAATAGTCCATTTCAAATAACCCAATAATGTGACAATTTTTAATTAAAAAATCGTCATTGTTAAATAAGCTAAGAATATAACAATTTTAATACGATCACAAGAACCGTCAATGCCGAGTAAGTTAAAATATAACATTTGTAATACGATCACAACAATCGTCGTTATCAAATAAGCTAAGAACATAACAATTTCAATACGATCACAAGAATCTTCAAAGAAGCTAAGATAATGACAAATACAATCATATCAATCGTCAATGTTAAATAAGTTAAGAATATAACACTTTTATTACGATCATAAGAATTGTCAATAAGCTACGATAAAGACAATTTTAATACGACCACAAGGATCGTCAATATCAAATAATCTATTATTAAGATTAGGACAACACTTGTGTAAGTTTTTACACAGATGTATTAAAGAAATAAAGCCAACGTTTAAGAGTACACAATAAATGTAAAATGAGACTGTCTCAGTCTCAAAATACAATAAGAAATTAAGTTACTTAATTTTACTGTACAAAGATAAGATATGTTCAACCTTCTTACTCCTGATGATGACGCAGTAAGACATCGAAATATGTAGAGTGTACGAAACTGTTTCCAGTCTCACAGTCAAATAAGTGGAACATATGGTAACTACTTTGTTACGGTAACTGTAACTCTCAGTGGCATATGATCACTCTAGCTAACGGAGCCAAATAATCTAACATTATGTCAAACTTAAAAAAAAATCACTATAATTGTCAATGTCCAAAAAGCTAACAATATGTCAGCTTTCTTAGTATGGTCATAATAGTTGTGTCCATTTAAAGATATTCATACATCAGAACTTTAACGGATCGTCATATCTCATTTATCATGTCAAAAACATTTTTAAAATCGGCACTTTAAATATAATATGTTTGATAATCTTTGTAAACAAAATTAAATACAAGGCTAGATATTACATAACCTTATTGAGAATAACGTGAAATTTGATCAGTGCAGACAGTTAGTGACAACGTTTCTACTACATTATATAATAAAACCAGTTTTGTGTATTTTCTTTCTGTAAGATGTCATTGTAAGCTTAAGCACGCACAGTCCCAAAGTGAAAGGCGCAATATTATATTTAGCCTTAAAGGAGCGCAGGACACAGAACCTCGATTTGTTTGTTATTAAGCACGAAGCTACAAAACTAAATTAGAAGAATATTTTCTAGAAACTTCAAACGTTTCAAGGAATCTTGATCTTAAAGGGTCGAACTCTATCCAGTTGTTAGTGTCGGATTGTGAAACTCGGGTTTCGTGGCTCGCGTCCCGTTACATTAAAAGAATATCGCACTCCACACAGTGTGTGTGTGTGTGTGTGTGTTATAAGGGAGACGCCCACTATTCGATTAGAGTAGCCCAGAAATTGGCGGTGGATGGTAATGACTTCCCTCTAGTCTATGACTTCTAAAATTAGGAACGACTAGCGCTGATGCCCCTGGTGTACTTTTATGTGAAACTTAACATAATAAAACAAATAAACTTAATCGTAAAAAAAGCCACATTATAAGTTTTACAGCAGTCCCGGATACATCTTCTGTTGCGATCATATGAGATAAAATAACCCCAAATCCTAGGGTTAGTAAATATAAGTATGTGTATAACAGTTATTTACACAGAGATCTGCCGGTCACTTTTCTTGTATAGCGGTTAACATTATTTTATAATATTTAGAACAGTTCTACAATAACAACAATTACATGTTTCTTATTTGTAGCTTAATAAGAACTGACACAATAATGTTTTTTAGAGCAGTAGCTTACTATAAATATCGATACATTAATGGGGATGCTACAATAAAAGATTTACTGCAAAATATCGAGACATTAATAGGGATGCTACAACAAAAGATTTACTGCAAAATATCGAGACATTAATGGGGATGCTACAACAAAAGGTTTACTGCAAAATATCGAGACATTAATGGGGATGCTATAACAAAAGGTTTGCTGCAAAATATCGAGACATTAATGGGGATGCTACAACAAAAGGTTTACAGCAAAATGCTGAGATTAACGTAACAAAGACAATTTGACTTTGGAAACTAGCGTTTTGACACAAAACTAACGACTGAACTAATTTAATGAATACGTAAACATACTAACACAACTGAACTCACTTAATGAATAAATAAACATTATAACATAACTGAACTCACTTAATGATTACGTAAACATACTAACCTCTGATCCTTAATGAAGAAAGTTGGGTGACAAAAATAAGTTGATGAATGAAAAACTAAAGAAGTTGTTACACATGCCAACTTTAACTGATAAGTGCCAGCGTATCTTCACCCACCTTGATGTTGCTCCAAGATCACCGCTTCTGTCGGTATACACTCGGTGACGTCTTACGCTCAATACCGATCTGAGGCGTCACCCAGGGTAACATGTTAATGGATGACAGCCACTTCGATCAAAGGATGTTCTCACCGGGCAGAGTTATTGTGTAGATGTGAAAAACATTTATATACTATTCTTAATTTCGGTTATTACTTAAGGTCAGAGTACCAGCTACCATGGGGCTAGAAGTCAGAGTACATTCTGTTGCACTAAACCACAAAATAACACTGAGTTAGAGGCTAGAGTACCATTACCTGCATTGGACCACCAAACAACATTGAGTTAAAGGTCAGACTACCAGCTACCTGCAATAAAGCACCAAACAACAAGGGGTTAAAGGTCAGAGTACCAGTTACCTGCATTAAACCACCAAACAGTACAGGGTTAGAGGTCAAAATACCAGCAGTACCTGCACTAAACTACCAAACAACATGTGGCTAAAGGTCAGAGTATCAGCTACCTGCGTTAAATTACCAAACGCAGTGTTAGAGCCAGAGTAACAGCTACTTGTACTTAACCACCAAACAACACAGGATTTGAGAAACACATTGCTACCATAGATAGGTACATTTTTAACATGATATCAGATTTTTAAAAAATCTGAAAACCACACTATTTGCATTGATCAAACCTTGAAGTTCTTGCCAAACGTAGCGGGTTCAGAGAACCGTACATCCTACAATATACCCGAACCTTAAGGGTTTGAGCAAATTGCAAGGGATTAGAGAACCTCGCGTTTATATCAGAAAGCCGCAAGATAAAACTTTTAATGAAACCGCAAAGGGTCTGAACACCAAATTTTTTGAAGAAATAAATTATCTTGATGAGTTCAACAAACTACACAATATTAGAGAACCACACTGCCTATACCAATTTAAGTTTAAAGTTCTAACAAAACTAATCAAGCTATAAGAATAAGTTGCCTCCATTTAATCAAATCTTTTTTTTTTCAACTTTATAAAATCAGAAAATCATACTGAATAATTTAACTCTGACGTCAATATGAAAGTTATTATAGCAAAGTTCGACTAGTATCCAAGCTTCTTGTTAAAGATCCATTTATCTCGTTGCTAAAGCACCGTGACGTCAGGAATTGACCATTAAACTCTTTATAAAATTAAAATCAAAACAAGTAAAACACACATTTTTTTTTACTGTTAATGTTAATTCTGAAGTTGTTTTTATCGTTAAAATATTGACGTTTAACAAACCCATAATTCTCTGTTTCAACTTGGTGTTTTATCTTTGTGATAATTATATTCGAAATTAGTAACTGGTATAATAAAATCTACAGTATTTAGTTGCTGATCTTGACAATAAACAGATGCGATAAACGAACTTTTATAAAACCAAATGTTAAAATAATTGCGTGTTATTTAGATATATTATGAATATATATTTGTGTCTCTGCAGAAAGAGACGTACTGTTTTTCTAATGTTTCTTCTGCTTTCAAACTCTTTTCAAGCGACCGCCATTTTTACATTTTTCGTCGGATTAACTTGAAACTTGGTTATACTTTGGTCCAATACACCCAGAGACCCTTTCAATTTTTTATTTAGGCCTTTTAAAGGATTTTATGGGGTAAAAAGTCAAACAACTCAAAAATGTATATTTTGGGCTCCTGTGCTGTCAATACTTACAGCAATCAAAATGTTTGTTTTGTTTGTAATTAAGCACAAAGATACACAATTGGCGATCTGTGCTCTGCCCACCACGGGTATCGAAACCTGAATTATTGCGTTGTGAGTCCGCAGACATACCGCTGTGCCACTAGGGGGCACAATCAAAATGAAAATTGGCACAAATAATAATTATTTTGCGCCCAACATATTTGCTTATAGAAAGTTGGATTAGCCCATTTTGATTAGAGCTCACCAAAAAGCATAATTTGGGGGCAATTACTCGTGAGATTTAGTACAAAGATATTATTTCCAGGCCCCAAACATAAATATAGACAATTTTGGAACTTTTGTCTTTTGTTCAATTTTTCAGCGAAGAAAGTATATTTGGGGGTTTTCGTGAACTATTCATGTGTATGTCAACTAACTTATATGCGATTGGATACAAATATACCTTCTTGCAGGTCCCAAGCAGTAATACAGACAGTTTTAGATTTTCCCGTGTTTTTCAAGACTTTACTGGTGTAAAAATTGGCCATGTTGCAATTGCATGGTGAAGAAATGTTGCATTCGCTCTTTAATGTTGGCCTCTTAAATTAACAATACGTTATTATCAATCGAGACTAGTTGACATATAAAAAAATAACTAGTTTACTTCATTGAGAAACTAGTCTGGAATTTAACAACTTTTTGTATAGAGTATTATTTAAAACCTAGTAGAGGATATACATTTTATTTTAATAACATACTAGCACGTTACTTCTTCCGGCCACAAAAATTGAACATTGATATTATGGTAGTAATGGAGTCACTAAAGGCGTGTTTGAATACTATAAGGTTAATGTTATATATTGATTCAAACACGAATGTTGCAAGGAAATTTTATAAAAAAATCCCTTAGAGATTAATACCATTAATTAAAAGTTTGGGTATGAAAGTAGGTTTCACATCGATACTATAAATCAAGACATATCTTAATCAAGAAAAGATGAAAGTAAATATAGTATTGGATGAAGAGGAAGAATACTGTTCAAAAATAACATGTGTCATTGGGGTAAATCTCTTTTAAGTATTTTACAGTCATCTCACTTAAGCTTCATCTTATAAAATGCCGTTGTAACTTTTATAAGTTTCACCTACCTCTTAGGCAAAATTTATTTGCCATCGAATAACAACACACGGCACTATGACATTTTCAAGCCAACAGCATAATACGTAGACTTCCTGTGTGTAAAGAGAAACATAACTAAATCACTGAAACATCAGTACTAAAAAAAGACACGCAGTTATAGTTTATAGATTGTTTTGTTTTTGAGAGATGAAATAGCTGGAAAAGGTTATAGATAAATTTAAAGTCAATCACGAACGGCACAAGCATTAAAGTAAACCCAGAGGGATAACAGAAGAATAATAAGTTATACAGTTGGAGAACGCAAATATTATTTCTTCAATATTCACGTTAATTCAGTTAAAGGTTTCGTATTATCAATAACTCTTTCTCAGTTTGACAGTTGTGAGGACTCTTTCAGTTACCGTGTAACTGTTTTTCTAAGAACAGTATTTTTCTTACTAGTGTTTAATTTTAGTAAACTGCTATTGTGCTTTACTTTTGATTTTGTTCGGAGACGACTTACCACAAAATAGATGATCAACCTATGTTTAAGGGCCGTATAAATTGGACAGGGAATACCACCCTTTGTCATAAGGGCCGTATAGTTGGACGAGAAATATATTTTATAATGTATGTCTGCTCTGTAAAAACGGCACGAAATTTTAAATTGTTTGTTGTTAAGCACAAAGCTACAAAACGGGCTATTTTTATTCTGTCCATCGCGGGTATCGAAATATGTTTTTTAGCGTTATAAGCCCTCAGGCTTACCGTTAAGTCACTGGAAGGGCACGTTTTAGACACACAATAACTTTATGTCAATGCGTTTTTCATACATATGTCTAATATTAAAGTGTGAGATAACTAGCACTGAATACTGGTAATCAAGATCGTCCTTGGAAAATCATAGAAGTATCTTAAACAAAACAATAGCTTCCATGAATTTCAAGCAGTTTTGCATGATAAATTGATTTGAAAAAGAAAACTCTTGCGGAAAAAAATTATATTTCATGTTTCAATGAATTATTTATTCAATTTCAAATAGTCGGCATTCATCATTCTTATATGAAGAGATGGTTCTCTGATTGCAGTGAAAGAAAAAAGCTTTGAAATCAAGATTAATAAAAACATTTTTATAGCAATCTGCAAACTTTAGATGACTTAAAATATATTCACTCAAACTACGAAATTTGTGTGTGGACTTTTAGTATTCGTTTCTTATCTTCAATTTACATCTAGTGAGAAGTGTATGAAATATATCTGATTATTTATAACGTGCTGTATTTGAAATTGTTATTGGAATGTTGCATAGGATAAAAAAGATCGAATTTTCCAGCACGAGTTTGCTTAAATTTCATGACTTTGACGCTCAGAAAACTTTTCTGTTACAGTTAATAACTATCTCAGAATATCCAAGGAACAAATTGAACTTCAGATATTTCATGAACTTACACAGTTACATACATATATATATATACATATATGTATGTATTTATGTATCATAAATTCCATAGTATGTTAAATAAGCAAGCCAATATGATGTCCTGTGTTATAAGATAAGTGAAGTTGTTGTTATAATAGAATCTGAATATCAATATTGCAGTACTCTCTACATAAATAATTAGCTTACATGCCGTTTACATATTAAATTTAAGCTCCTTTATTAGCTAGGTACTTATTGGACTTTACCCAATTATGTTCATCGTACTTGGTAGAAAAGGGAGTAAACTAAATCCAAATTAGATTATAACATACAGAAAGTATTAAAGAAACGTGATCAACATCCTTATAATAAAGATTGGACCAAGGGACTGCTGCATACTTCAATTAGAATATCATTGTAGAAAAAAAAATTAAGACGCAAAGAAAACAATTTTACATTGAAATTCACCAAGAATCATCAAGTGTGCGTCATTAAAGTGACATCTATAATTAAATCTATTTATCATTCTATCCTAATTTTTAGCTGTGAGAAGATATGATGAAAAATCTGATTAATAAAAAAAAACAAGGTGGCAAATACAGATATTTTATTTGTAGTTAAATATTTTTTATTATTATTTCAAATATATTTCAAGCTTTCCTTTGGTGAAATTAAATAAGGTATAAACTCTGCAAATTTGATTTAGTGCAAGCATTAATTTTAATCATAAGAACAGGAAATAAATTATCATTGAAACAATCAACTATCGCAGAAAACTTTTCAAATCTTTAAAGATATCAAGAGAAAGGTTTCAAAATTCAGTTTACTTGGAAATACCCCAATTCTCCTTATTAACTTAGACCACTTACATTTAACCAAGTGTTAATTAGTTTGTTATCAACACGAA